GGAGACGCAAATCCGTGTTTTCTACCCCCCCCCCCCCCCCCCCCTTAGAATCAATGCCAGACTCCCATCTTGGATACAGGTGCGGTATAGACTTTTAAACGGTGCTGTGAATGAAAAAAGGAAAAAGGTTGAGAGACACTAATATAAAGTGTTCCAGCACCTGGACTCCTGCTCAACGATGCCTGTATAGTTTTGGCTGTGAAGTCTTCCAGTGCTAGAGACATAGAGCATAGGTAATTGAACACCAAACACAAATGCTGGGGTACTAATTCCATTAACCCAACAATGTGGCACTATTCTTTTATTATTTTTTTGCTCCCATTGACTACCAATCTTGGTGCATTTTTACTCTCACTGAGTAAGGGCTACAGGCTGGTCCCCCAAAAAGTCTAAAGGACAGTGAACTGGCCCTTTGTTTAAAACATTTGAGGACCCTTGGTTTAAACTTATGAACATTTTATTTGGTTCGTATTCTTATAAGTTAAAGGTAAACTATTTATTAATTCTTAGTTGTATACATTTTTAAACTGATGTTTATTTATTGTTACAGGGATTTATGATTTTAATTTTGCTTGTTATTTTGAACTATTTACTTGTACAGCTTGAATTTCTACTTGTCATTTCTTATTTTTACCTACCCTGAGAAATATTTCCTATAGATTTCCTATATATCTTAAAACTTTATCTAATATACTCTGCACTCACTCGCCGGTGCCATTCCTCTCTATGTATATCAAATGTATATTAAAGAATGAAAGCGATCACATGTCTACATTTAAAAGAGGTCTGGGGTTTAATTGTATGAAAACACACGAGTCCATCCATAAACCCACCTATGTGGTAGCAAAATACAGACAATTATACAAAACACTGGATAACTACCACTTGTACATTCCGATTATATTTCCTTAATATCAGTGTATTTATTCACACAGCTATTCACTTTAACCTGTTAAGTCTAAGGGCTAATTTAGGTGGGCAATTTTTGATTACTTGCTGCTACAAATTGCTAATGCCAGCAATTTGTAGCAAGCGATTTAATCGCTTTTGTAGCCAAGCTATAAAGGTGAATACAAAGAGATTGTCACTTGGCGAACTGGTCTCTGACACGAAAGGCTACTCTAAAGTTGGACCTAGGAGGATGCTATGTCATTTTCCATGTACGCATTTGTGTCACTC